ACAAAAAGAGGTTATATAAATCTTGCAGCGGGTTCGAATAGACAGGGAATGAATAGATATGATATCTCAGATGACCCCAAAGATGTTAGCACAGGTATTTTCTGTGGAACTGCAGGAAATCATACACATGTTGTAGCTGGTATTACAGACCCAGCAGGTAATGGAAAAGATTATATGCCTCCTTATATAACAATGCACGCTTGGATACGAGTTGGTTAAAATCTTTAACTTTACATAAATGAGCTTGAAAGAAGTATTCGAACAACATCCATGGAGGTCTTTTAAGAAATTCAATGAAGCTGCAAAGAGTTCGGGATTTACTAACAGAGCTGAAGTGAAAAGGTTCTTTGACAAAAATGTTGTACATCAAACAAAAATAAATCCTTACGACTACTTTTTACCAATTTACTCCAACACTCCTGACGCATACCAATTTGACACTCTCATTCAAAGCAGAAAAGGAGGACATAAACCATTCCTCATCTTCATTAATGTTAACACTCGCAAAGCTTTTGCGTATATAATGAGAAATAAAGGAACTCATGAAGTGTTAAGAGTTTTACAAAAGTTTGTAGCAGAACATAGCCCAAGTATTTTAACATCAGACCAAGACGGTGCATACCTCAGCAACGAAATCACAGAATTTCTCATTAAGCATAACATAACTCACTACACTACTGAAGACCATAACCATAACATACTCGGTATCATTAACCGCTTCATAAGGACTCTCAGAGATTTAAATCAAGAGCGAGACTTTACCGAAGAAACAATGAAACATTTCATCGAAGTTTACAATTCCTCAACACATTCTACAACAGGCCATACACCAAATTCAATGACACAACAACAAGAAGAAAAGTATATACAAAAGAAACGAAGTCAAACACAAAATATCAGAAATTCAACACAATTTACTCTCATTCCTGGAACAAAAGTTCGTGTAGTTCTTGACGACAAACCGTTGACAAAGAAACGTTTAAGGTTAAGTCGAAATTATTATATCGTAGACTCTACGCAAGGTAATGGATATCTTATAAAAGCTGCTGACGACTCCATAGCATTTTACCCTCGTCATAAATTAGTCGAAAGTAGTAATGGCAAACTTGCTGAAACCATTGACGAAGCAAAGCGAGGAGTGGTTATTGAAATACTTGACTACAACATAAACGATGACACTTATAAAGTAAGATATGAAGGAGGCGTTGAAGATGTTATACCATCTAAGAACTTGAGAGAATCTAAACCAACTCATCTGGGACCATTAGAGCGGGAGTACTGGAAAGATAAAAACATGCCAGAAAGAATAAGAAAATTCTTCTAAACTTTTTCGTTGGATGTAAATCAGACAAAAATATATTATAGGTGAAGAGGTGAGATTTCACCTGTTTTCTCACCTTTTTTTCACCTCTTGAATTTTCGTGAATTTCCTTAAGATAGAAAAAATAAAGTTAGTTTTTTTTTTATTTATTTTTTTATCCTGTATGTAAAGACAGATATGTCAACATTAGAGAACACAACAACTGCTATCGTTCATGAAGTCATAAATGAAGAATACGAATACATACAGTATAACAAACAATTGAGACTCATTCGTTCTGTCAAAGACGACATGTACCAAATGCAAAGTATTTTGACGGCTTGTTTTGCTCCAGATACTAAGCTTCCTAAAGACTGGTTTAGGAACCAAAGCACCATAGAACTATTAAGTGAAGCACAGCGAGACGTACTTTTTTCTGAAAACAGTGAAGAACAGCGAGTAGGTAAAAAATCCCAGTCGCCAAAACTCTATGAAAACCGTGAAAAATTGCCAAACGGTTTGAGAGGATATTATGTTCATAGACTTTTAGTAAATGCAGTTGCAATGTGGGCTTCACCACGTTATGCTTGGAATATTTACAAACTTCTTGACGAACTTCACAGACAAGAACGTGGAGAGATGGAAAAGAAACTTCAAGCAAAAGATGAAGTCATTGAATCCAAAGACAAAAGCATACAGAAAAGAATACCGCGTTCAGTACCAAAAGGAAAGGAAAAGAACTATAAGTATATGATTTATACTGAAGAGTTGGAGAATGAAGAAGATAAAGATATGGTTATGTTGCATTTAGTCAGAAGAAACAACAAAAGCTTTTACGACCTTGCTAAAATATATAAATCTGACAGAAACTGGTTCTATCGTGAAAACTTACCGATTTCAATGACACCGAATGAGCAAATAAAAGAAATTGTCAAAAATACTCTTCCTCAAACACACTATGACATCAAAGGTTGCACAATACTTACCTTCAAAGAAGACTTACCATTACTGAAGGAAAAAATAACAGAATATTTCGATAACTTCAAAGAGGAAGAATGAAGTCACGACAACATTAACGAAGAAGTCACGACAACATTAACGAAGAGAGAATGAGGTGAAAAAACAGGTGAAATCTCACCTCTTCACCAAAAATATATTTTTGGTTAAATAGCTTCAGGGTCAATTTCTTCAACCATTTCACTTCCTTCGTCAATGTCAATAGAAGCTTCTTCAACCTTTGGTAAGAACTTTTGTATAACATCTTTGTTCGTTATTGTCTTCAGAGATGAAGGAAATATTTCACATTTATTTCACCCTTCTTATATTCTTTCTGTTCGGAAAGATTTAAAGCAATACTGAAGAAGTCAATGTTGGAGTTCTTTATAACAGTATAATGAGTATCTTTGACATTCACGAAGAAACCCTTTTGTTTCAAAACTACTGCTAACTCTTGTGAAGTATAACGTTTGCGGTCAATGACAATAGCTAATGGTCTGACATACTGACCGAACTTAGATTCTTTCACAAACTTCTTGTTAAAGATAACATTGACGTTTGAAGCACCATTGAACTCATTCTTGATGGCAGTAGCGAGAGCATTGTATGAAAAGAACTTGCAATCTTGCATGTGTTTCATTAAAATAAAATATTAAATTATTTTGAAAAATAACTTAAAAAAATGTAATCTAATTTTTCAAAAAAATATTTTTTATTTCCTACTAAAGATGTATCGGAAGTTGTCTAAGTTAGAACACTCGGAAATAAAACAACTTCTTACAGAAGCTAATATAGATGTTGCAAAACATTACGCGACAAACAAAAAAGCACTCGCTGACTTCATTAAAGACTACAATGGTGCAATAAGTTATGATAGAATTCATGAGTTCATAAAGCCGCAACGCGGCGAGGACGAAGTCCATGCAAGAGCATTTCCTTTAAATGACATTGCTATTGACTTATATCATAGACGTTCAGTACCTCATGAAGTAAGAAGAGAAATGTTTGACATAACAAATGCGAACGTTGGTCATACTCGTAAAGCTCTTTCGCATGATGTTCGTCAAGAAATGTTTGACATAACAAATGCAAACGTTGGTGAAACAAGAAGAAGAGACGACACACTGAAACAACAGAGAAGAGAGATGTTTAAAAGTGCTATAGAACAAGTTCGCAAAGCTAACGATGTCATTCGTTCCATTGACGACAAACCAAAAGAAGGTGAGAGATGGTTAAAGAAAGATGAAGAGAATAGGAAGAGAAATGTGAAGTCAGGCAATAGACTCATTGACTTTAACATCGAAGCTTTAGATGAACCAAACAGAGAATATTTACACAAACATTTCGGTAAGGTTTTCATGAGACTCTTAGAGAAAATTAAAATAAACTCGCAACAAAGATGGATGGTATGTTATAAACTTGGTGGAAAGTATGAATGTTCTACGTTAAACCTCAATAATATTGGAACATTACTACATCAGCTCTTGAAGGAGAACTTTATATCAGAGATAGAAGCAAATGCTGCAGGTATTGTTGAAATGCACTATGACTTCTTCTTGACAAACATAAAGAATCTTACTGAAATAAAGATGTATGATTTAACAGAATATGAAGGCTTAACGATGTCAGATGTAAAGAAAGGCAAACCAAAAAAGAGACCATATAGAGATGAAAGCACACTGACAAATGACCAGAAAGCCATTTTGGAAGCTCTTAAGCAAACAGGAAACCCAGCACTTATAGAAAGCTTTTGGAAAGATAATGGTGAAAAGAAGTTTTATAAGAAGAGAAGCGGTCAGTTATGGAAGTATCTTTGCACATTACCTATAAATCTTGAACGCTACCAAATCTTCAATGAACTGAACAAAAGAACTGCAATACTTATGACAGAGGACAATTGTTTCGTTTATGCTTGCATTCAGGCTGGAGTAAATGAAGAAACTATTGACCACATGAGAGAAGTCATTCGTGTTAGAGACTTTCCTCAAAGTAAAGTACAAGAAATTTCTGACGCAACAGGTATAGCATTTAATGTTACCATTGGTTATTTCAATGACTCAAGACATAATGAAATAAAGAGATATATACCAAAAGAATGCGAAACTGTTAGAACTATTGACTTACTTCTTGTTGAAGACCACTACATGCTAAATGAAAGACTTCCAATGACAACATACTTCATTCGAAACTATAAAGAAATTCTCAAAGCTTGTGGTGGAATGAACATTGAGAAACAGATGAAGATTTATACAAAGAGAGAAGATAAATATGTAGTTCGTTATGATAGAACAACACCGTTATGGGATGTTATGAAAACATTGTGGGAGTGCAAATATTTCGAACCTATTTCTTATGGAGAACTTTTCACATATACTACTGACTTATATAAACAGAACCTTGCACCATTTAAAGATTTGACATATGCTCCAAAGTATTGTGTACAACTGAAGAAGAAAGCAGAGTCAAAAGAAGTAAATAAAGCTAAATGTAAATTCATTCCTGAGCACGTTTTCTTTGCTGACTTTGAGTGTAGTACGGATGGCTTTCATAAAGCTTTTAACATCTGTTATGACAGTGAAGATGGTTCAGTGAGTGAAAGCATTTGGGGTCAAAACTGTGCAACAGAATTTTTGGAAAGACTCCCTGACAAGAGTTTAATATATTTTCACACCTCAGTTATGACATAAACTTCATCTTAAGACACATGACAGAAGTGAAAGGAACTCCCATCATTAAAGGTTCACGAACAATGCAAATAACTGGTTTATATAAAGGACGGGCAATTATTATAAAAGACTCTTACAGTGTTATAAATAAGAAGCTTAAACTATTTCCTGCTATGTTTAACTTACAAACAGGACCGAAAGAAGTATTTCCATATAACTACTACAGCAGTGTTTTGTTAGCAAATGACAACAGAACTGGTGTCATTTCTGAAGCATGTAAGTTTATCCGGGATGCAGATACATTTATGAAAAACATAGATTCCATCAAAGGTTGCAGAATAGATGAGAACCACTTCGACTTAGAAAAATATAGCACGTTTTACTGCAAACAAGATGTAAGAATTTTAAGAGAAGGTTTTGTAAAGTTCCGCAATGACTTATTGAAAGAGTTTGATTTAAACGTTTATGACTACGTTAGTATTTGTTCAATTGCTAACAAATTGTTTGAGAACAGAGTATACTTCCCGAATGGAAATCTTTATGACCTCTCAAATAAACCAAGAGAATTTATTTCGAGATGCATTCAAGGTGGAAGATGTATGTTGTCAGATAACATGAAACAAAAGAGCAAAAAGAAACTCATTGCTGACTTCGACACTGTTTCATTATATCCTTCAGCTATAGCAAGACTTTATACTTTAGAAGGTATTCCAAAAGTATTGAAGGAAGAAATGTTAAACACAGAGTATCTCATGAGACATTTATTCGATGATGACCAAAAGGAACCCATTGGTGAAAAGTTTATGTCTGGCTTCTTTGTTCTCATTAAGATAACAGAGATTGGTATACCCAGACACTTTCATTTAATAGTTTGCGACCCTGAACTAAATCCAGAACTTAACGTTCCAAGAAGTTCAAACACTTGCTGTCTCATGTATGTTGACCATATAACATTACAAGACCTCATAAAATATCAAGGTGTCAAATGTGAAGTGTTGCAAGGATACTATTACGATGGAAACAGAGATATGAGAATAAGAGATGAAGTAAAGAAGTTGTTTGAGTTAAGGTTAAAGTATAAGAAAAAGAAAACCCCTTACAAGAAATTATAAAACTCATTCTGAACAGCATTTATGGCAAAACTATTCTATCTCCTATTGAGTCAAAAATAACCATAGTAGATGACAAAGATGCTATAAGATATGCTATAAGAAATTACAACCATATAGTGAAGTTCGAAGGTTTGGATGGTTCAGATAAAACTATTTTCAAGCTAACGAAAAGCATTTGCAGACACTTTAACTTCTGTCCACTTGGTGTTAATATTCTGTCTATGTCAAAACGTATTATGAATGAAGTATTCTGTACTGCAGAGGACATGGGTCTTCAAATATTTTACCAGGATACCGACAGTATGCACTTATATAATGAAGACATCCCAAAGCTTGCAGCAGAGTTTAAGAAGAGATACGGTAGAGAACTTATAGGAAAGAACCTTGGTCAATTTCATAGCGACTTTGCAGAAATAACACCTGGAAAACAAAGTTTAGCTTATAAAAGTATTTTCTGTGGAAAGAAGACCTACATAGACTTACTCACGAATGATTTAAATGAAGTTGCATTTCACTGCAGAATGAAAGGCGTGAAGCAAGATGTTATTGCTTTAACCGCTAATGAAATGTTTCCTGAAGCTATACAATGCTATTACAATGAAGATAAGAACATTCACATACCTGTTGGAACATATGACAAAGACTCTGAGTTCAGTTTAATGAAACTTTACAAAGCACTTTATGATGGTCAAGAGATTGCATTCGACTTATGTAAGTCATGTCAACCTTGCTTTGCTGAAAAGTTCAACTTTTCAATAACGACTAAAACAAGCTTTATTCGTAAGTTGAAGTTCTGAGGTCATTTATTTTTGTCAGCAATGAGGTCATTTGTGATAAAAATAAGCCGCTAGCGGCATGGGCGAAGCCTATGTGGTCATTTACAATACAGCTATTGTAGAGTTTAACAATTGTGCTTCAATGTATAAACAATCTTTCCCATCTGGAGGTAAGAACACTGGGCACTTATGGTCATGAGTGGAGAACATGTCTATCCAAAACTCACGATTGAAGCCAGTAAGCTTGTAATACTTAGGATTTGACAGTGGTGAAGTTCTTGTATGACCAATGAACTCATTTTCAACTCCCTTACTTAAGTTTGAATATAATATAGCTTGCTTTCTATCCCAAATGCCAGGTGTTACAATCTTTGAAAATTCATTTTTCCTCGGAAGTATTGCATCATAATTGAAAACATTCTTGAATCTTCATTGGGTTCAGAGATTTGAAACCTTATACGTAATGGATTTTCTTTCTTTTTAGCGACTTCATTGAATGGTGAATATATAACAAACTGACAGTCATGAGTTCCATCTTCATTTTCATTAAATTCATAATGAAAGTCTATAAGTTGTGGCTGACTACCTTCTTCTTTCAGTTGTGCAAGAAACTCACGTAAAGGCTGTAAAGTTTGTACTTCAATATTGAACTTTTTCTCGAACATCTCATTAAATGAAATCATACATTGCAACAATGTTGTATCGTCTTTAAAGTATTTGTATATGTGAATGTTTTGGGCGCTTAAAGACTGTTCGTCATTTTCTATCTCGACTTGAAGTATAAAGTCAACCTTTCTGAAAGCACGTGTTATATACATAGATGTTATGCCAATGTACTTCTCTTCATTTATGTTCACAATCCAGTCTGTTGGAAACTTAAACGTTACTCTGTTCCCCTTTATTTTGACGTCAGGGTTTTCACTACTGAACGCAACAGATAAAGGTATTTGTCTATACATTTAGTTTGGATATAAAAATAAACCATTTACTCTTTCTTTGCTTCAGCTTCCTTTGCTTTTTGTTCTTCCTTTGCTTTTGCTTCTTCTCTAGCTTTTTTCGCCAGCAAACGTGGGTTCTTCTGTCTTCCAGCAGCTAATGCAGCTAGTTGTTTTTCACTAAGTTTTCTCTTTGGTCTCTCTGGCTTTTGTTCTGGTTTTTGTTCCTTCAGTTCGGATAAAATTTGTTCACGAATTTCTTTCTTCAATGCTTCAACATCTATGACCCCTTGGGTCTTGTCCGTAGGATTTGACTGAGTCATTTGACTGTAGATAAAAAACTAAATTAAAACTTTAACCGATGTAAAATGAGCTTGTCAAAATCAGAACGAGAGTCTATTATATTAAATGACGCCAGAGGAATACAACATCCTTTCTATTATGTAAGTCAGAGTAAAGATGGTAAAATATATGTAAGAAAAAGAAAGGTTCCATTAGCGAATACAGAGAGCGACAACATTAAGGTGCATGGCAAGGATGAAGTCCACGAAGCCCATATAAAACCTTCTGTACAAACTGAGCCACCAAAAGAACAAGAAGAAAAGAAGCCAGATGTACTTTCAATAACGAACCAAGAGCTTATTGCAAAGTTCGTGAATTTCATTGAAAAGCAAACCGAGTCAAAGAACCCTGACCCACCAGTGAAAGAAGTTGAGACAAAAGAGAATGTACAGTTCATTGAAAATGTCAAGAAACAACTTCCACACGAATACCAAGAAGAAGAGTGAGAATAATGAAGTAAATAGATATTTTTATCTGAAGTAAATACATGCAGAACGAACAGTTAAACGAATTTACTCCAGCAGAGCATATTCATCAGATTCGCTCATATTTCGATATCATAGACAATGCAGTTCAAATTGGTGACACTAATAGAAAATATTCTGACGCAAAGATTCCATCACAACCTGGAACTGCTAA